ACGTGAGGACATGACTGGGAAGAGGCCCTCACCAAGAACCTGACCACAGCCCCTGACCTTGGATCTCAGCCTCAGGAACAGTGAGTGAGCATTTGTTGTTTAAGCCACTCAGCCCGCGCTGACTGAGAACGCGTCTAGCACCGTGTCATTATTGTCATCATCCCCGAAGACCTGAAGGTGAGGCCAGTACTTCCCAGTGTGAATTCTCTGCCCTAAAGAGACTGGGAAAGGTTACAGTGCCCCGGACACTATGCCTACGCCAGTCCTTGAACCTGACTGCTCTCCTCCTGATCCTCCACCTACCAGAATTCACCCAGCTTGACCTCTGTCTCCATCCCCTGTAAGGAACCCAACCTTACGGTGACCCTCCTCTGACGTCAGGTCGCCATTCTATTCATTTCTCATGTAACAGCAGTTCGGGTTTGCAGTCTCTCTGGACAAGGTCCTCAGAGCAGCCCAACACTCACCGCTTCTCCCCCCCTATCCCCCAGTTGGTCCCCTTTCCTGTTTCTATTTCAAATCTGTTCTACCTGTTTCCAGATGCCAGCTCGCCTTGACTTCAAAAAAAGGTAGGGAGCTGGAAAAGAAGGAAGGAGTAGCAATCCTAAATGAAATTCTGCCAATGCCCTGCTGCTACCCAGCCTTTCCAAGTGCCTCTGTCCTCAAGGGACATGTCCCTGCCTCTCTCCATTCACGGTGAATGAGTCTCCTGAAGGCCTTAACTTACCCCTTCAGGGGCCAATGCCTTCACACCCTTCAGTTTCACCTGCATTACGCACCATTTCCACAGACCTTCCGGTTGCAAACACCATCCCAACACCTTCCTTTCTTTCTCAGTGTGAGAGGATGTCTCACTGCCCCCATGTCCTCACTTCCCACTCCTCTTCAACCCACTGTCCTCTGGCCTTGGCCCCAATGCTCATCACCACGAACACTTTCTCAAAGGTTTTGGAACCCCCAAACAGCCAAGTCCAAGTTCTGCCCATGCCTTCTTCTACTTGTGCAGATGACTCTGTCATTGTACTTTTCTGACCTCTTCTAGATTCCCACACTGTGGAAATTATCTACCACCAGCTCCCAAGCAGGTCTCTCCTCCTGCATCCCCTGTTAGTGTTGACAGGCAGGCCCCCTGCAGTGACCTTCAACTTTTTCAATTCTACCCTGCATCCCACACGTCTATTAACTCTACCTCAAAAATGCCTCCATGCACCATGCTCCACGCCGCCCCAGTGCAGGCTCCCATCAGCCTTCGGACAGAGCACTACCTTCTCCGCTAATCTCCAGTCTTCTGCTCTCCCTTCCCATGCAAAATGATGAATGAAAAGCACTCATCTTGTTGTGCCAGGTTTCGAGTTTCCCAAAGACCACCAAGGAGCCAATTCCGATGCAAAGCACACGAGGGTCTTTATTGCGAGCTCAAGCCTGGGCTCCCAACCTGCACCAATGCAGTGGCCGAAGTTGAGAGCCCTGAGCTCAGGGAAGGCAAGGTTTTTAATTACAGAAGAGGGGAGTTTCAGCCCAGCAGAGGGGAGATTTTGCTCAGCAGTACATTGATTGGTGGACATTGAACAAAGTTATCTTGTCTTAACCCGGTTGGTCTAAGCATGTAAGATGTAGCCATCACTACTCAGCCCACATACCCTAGGATATCTGGAGTTTTTCTGCTCTGTACTGGTTACTTGCCTACTTGCTAACTAGCTGTTGCTATGGGATGAGCAAGATTAGGGCATTTACAGTTAAACTCGGCCTTGGCGCCTTGTTGACAACCGAAACTTAGGTCTGGCTGGTTCAGAAGCATTCAGAAGCCTGTCATGGCGTCAGTTTGGTCTTTCAATCTGGCTGTCTATTAGTTCCATAGTCACTGAGTGCTTATTACATGCTGGCACTGTAGCAGGTACCAGGGGTATGTCAGTAACAGTCTGTCTCTGCTCATGGTGCTCTCACTAGCGTGAAAACGACAACTGTGCACACATGTACACATGCATTAGGGCAGCAGTGATAAATAAAGCAGGAAATGGGAACATGGAAAGCTGTGCATAGGATGTCAGCGAGGGGAACTCACTGTGAGTGTTCCCAAGATTACTTCCAGCCTCCGGAATAGTGAGGCGTGAGTATCTGTTGTTTAAGCCACACAGCTGGGCTTAAACACACTGGAGGGTTCTGAGCAGACAAGGACAATGATCTCATCTATGTCTGAAGAGAGTCATTCTGCTACATAGAGATTAGAGAGGGAGACGAGGGAGGATGGAGAGGCTGATGAGGGGGTTCCCACTTGAGCCAACAGTGGAAATGGGGGCTACGAGCGGGCATTGGCAGAGCAGACAAGATGTGCTGCTGCTATAGACTTTACACAGCTTCCTGCCAGGCTGGACGCGAGCTGAGGCCCAGAGAGGAATCCGGGATGAGACCCAAGTGCGCAGCCTGGGTGGTGGGGAGGCTGGAGACCCGAGGGAATCCCTGGGAGTTGCAGCTGGGGGCAAGCAGAGGAGTGGAAATTGAGAGGACTGACCTGGACTGTCAGGGCTGAGTCACGTGGCCAGGACAGCTGGGAGTTCAGGGGAAGAACTGGGCTAGAGGGAGTAATTTGGAGTCACCAGAGTGCAGGGAACAGTTAAATTCCCAAGACTGTTTGAGATCACCAGAGGGTAAGTGTTGACAGAGGAGAAAGAAGGCTGTTGATAAGGCATGGGCACTCCCAGGGGTCAGAACAGGTCACAGACACAGGGGCGAGCAAGTAAATCCCCCAGAAAGTAACACAAGAAACAGAGAAGCATCCCTCTCTGAGGAGAAGCTGATCAGACCTAGAGAAATCTTAACTGAGGGGTAAACATTTGAGGCAGGAAAGGATTTGTTTCAATGATATATTTGAAAATAAATTCCCAATACTATATGCCTAAAACACCCTAGTAATTTAGAAAATGGGGTTCCTCAATAAGATTTTCATTGCATTTGAGACCTAGATGTCAAAGCCCCCTTCTTTTTCTGGGTTAACACTAAAAACAAGTGGCATGTTCTATAAAGAAAACGGTGTGCTATGCAGTTGCAGGTGACCAGAGAGACAGGCCACCAGCACAGAACAGGCCCCAGAGTCGGTGCGCATACATTGATGTGGTAGTGGTGAAGGGCAGAGGGCGTGTTAAGTAAATGGCTGGGATAAGAACCATTTCAAAAAAAGATAAAACTGGATCCATACCTCATACCATCATTGGAATTAGTTCCACATGCATCAGAGAGCTACATTTTTTAAATGAGAGGGTGTGGTGTGTCCCAATAAAACTCCATCTATAGGCCCTCCCTGGTGGCGCAGTGGGTTAAAGCACAGCACTAAAGCTAAAGCCACTTCCGCATGAGTTCGATCCCTGCCCCAGAGATGACCCACATAGCGTGGCAGACTTCTCCTGACCCGCCCACTGCTCCCCTCAGCAGTGTACTTCGTCGATCTGCCTGTTCTGCTCCCCACTCTGTCTCTGGTGAATCCTCGCACCCTCTGCATCTCTGGCCTGTACCCCAGTTCTGTATGAATAAATAAATAATTAAAAAAAAAAACCTCCATCTATAAAAACAGGCAGCTACCTGCGGGCCATTGGCTGCTGGATCCTAATATAGAGAAGCAAAGAAGGGCACATCAAAAGATTCACGTATGTATGTTTCTTTCTTTTTGTAAAAAGTAGTATAAGAAGGATAAAGGAGGAGCTAAGACAGGCTGCTCACAGGAGATGGCTGGGAATAAGAGGGGTGAGAAGTCTGAGTACAGCCTTCTACACCACTGTGAGGTAAGAAGTATGGGCTCTCATTTCTCCTTGCCAGGAACCTCTAATCGTGAGGAGTCGACCAGAGACTTCCAGAACAGGAGACATCCTATAAGCCAATTGCCCTGGTTTCCTCAAAACTCTCACGGTATCAGGAGGTTAGGAGGGGAGAGAGTATTTCAGACTAAGAGAGACTAAAGAGACAACACTACTGGACAGATGGGAGGACGCTGCTTGGATGCTGGAGCTACAGAAGAAGCTGGGACAGCTGGGCAACTGAAACTGCCTATTCCCTAGTTCAAAGCATTATGAAGCTTCTTAGCTATGATAACAAACCTGTGATTATTTGGCAAAAGTCCTCAACCTTGACAGAATCAAGGGGACGTATTTAGAGGTAAAATGTCACGACGCCTGATTTCTGTAACTGATTCAGAGGGGGACAAAAGTGTGTATGCGTGTGTGCACAGAGACACTGTGGGGGGGGGGGGGGCCGAAGGGGGCAAGAAAGGATAAGAGCTGGAGATGACAGGTCATCCAGCACACCAGTGCTTGGGTCTCACTGTGGGGGGGAGGGGGGCCGAAGGGGGCAAGAAAGGATAAGAGCTGGAGATGACAGGTCATTCTGACCACACTGGATCGATATAATGACCACTGACGGAAACAGAACAAGAGCAAAGTCTGGTCTTTGAGAGAAATTCCCTCCTGAGTATGTCTTAAGAAGTTAATTCAGCCGGAGAGATGGTCACCTTAGTGTAGGTTTTGTTTGTTTGTTTGGGGTTTACGTTTCATCTGAGACAGGACAAGGGATTAAGGGCCGAAATGACCTGTCATCCATTAGGCTGTTCTGTTCTGTTTGGGAAATTTCACTGAGAAGAACACAAAACGCCAAGAACGCTACGCAGTGGGAGGCGGGCCACACAGGTCGCCTGACCCCCATGCACGTGATCGAACAGGCCGCTCGCACTGCACAAAGCAAGCTGAGGGTGGGGAGAGCCCAGGGCTGCAGAGGCGGAAAACACAGGCAGTGACCGCCAGTGCAAACAGAGTTTCTTTGGGGGATAATTAAAATGTTCTCAAATTGATAGCAGTGATGACACCAGTCTGAAAACACTAAGAATGTCCGAAATGTACGTTTCAGTGAGTGAGTTGTATGGGGCATGAATCAGATCTCAATAAAACTGTTAGCAAATAGAAATGAGCACCCAGAACAAAGCACCCACACCGCCACCCTCAGGAGCTGCCTGCACTCACTTGTAGGCCTTCGTGGATTCATCTGCCCAGCCTCCTTGCCGGCGCGGTGGCTTGGGAGGGGGAACCTGGTGGGAAAGAAAAGCCAAAAAAACAGGGTCACTCAACACCGGCCTTTCAGCATCACCTTCACCAAGATTCACCTATCCCAATCTCCTAAATAAACAGTCTAATTTGCTTTCTAATTTGCTGAGAAAGGCTGGACGTTTTCATGCCCTTCTGGTGAGTATATAAATTGGCAGGATCTGGAGGGCAATTTGGCAATGTCTACTGAAAGCCTTAGAAATGCTCATGCTTTTTTAAAGCCAGCAATTCTAATCCCAGGAATTTATCCCAAGGAAATAATCAGAGTGAAACGTAATGTCATTTTTGAATAATGAATAGTTGGAAACCAAAATGGATCTCAACGAGGAACTAAGTAAATCACAGGCTGCACATGTGAAAATTCTACACAGTAATGAAAAAAGCTATGTTAAGAAATACTTAGTGGTAGGAGCAAGTGCAATCTATGTCAACGTTTAAAAAGTGGATTTTCCATGTTTCTGATTTGGGGAAGATCATGAAGAACTATTATCTGGTGTTCCTTAGCTGTAAGTACACAAGAGAGAGGGGACTTCTGGGTAATTCTGAGTCTCCTTTGGGTGGTCAACTATGTCCCAAATACTTTTAACCATCAACTTATATTACTTGCACAAACAGAGGTATAATTCAGATATAACAGAGAACCTTGCTTAAAAGACAATAAAATAATTACTGTCTACTATGTTACCTCTACTCGAGTAATTTGGGCAGGACACAGAGACACAAGGTATAGGCATTCTGGCCAGCACTGCTCAACTCAAAAGGGACATCGAGTAAGGCACTAAACAACTCCAGTGGGTAAAACAGCAAAGAATCTTTCCTACACTGAGCCACCCAGCATTCATGAAGGACTATTTTTTGAAATATCAATGTTCTCCTGAGAACCTTATTTAACTGTTGTTCTCAGTCTACAGATACACTTGGATAAAGTACTAAAACAGGGGCTGCAAACTTTTTCTTTACTGTAAAGGGTAGGTGGTGAATACTTGTGATTTTGTGGAACATACAGCTTCTGTTGCAATGACTCCACTCTGCTACCACAGGACAATAAACAGTCACAGACAATAAGGAAGCAAATGGATGAAGGAAACTGTGTTCCAATAAAACTTTACAAAAACAGGCCGCAGGCCAAACTGGGTGAGGAGGGTGTGCTCCGCTGATTCCTAGACTAAAAACATGTCACTGCAGCTGCCTTGAAATCTATGGCTTAAAGCTTAGCATGTAGAGTTTTAAGAAAATTCCCTGTTGTTTTGACACAATACCTTTCTACTTTTTGATATTTTTATTTTACATCAAAATACAATTCCCTTCCTGCTTCTCTAGTAGCACTCCTGCCTGCCAGAGAGGAAGGGTGTCAAAGAGATTCTCCATGCAAAACGACACAGAGGCTACAGCTGTCCTGCTCCACACTGGGGGTCTTGGCCAATCTCAGGAGCAGGCAGACAGGAGCTGTGGGGCGCGGGGGCAGGCGAGGCCTCTGTGAGGTGCCACGTGGGCACTGACTGGGAGCAGTTTCGGTCCTGATGGGGAAGACTCACGTTTAGTGCTCGAATCCCAAGGACAAGGCCTTGTTTCTGTAAATACTCCATTGTGAGTCTTGTTAGGCTCACACACAAATACCGTGTCTGGATGAGACAGACTCAAACACTTTCACCAGTTATAAAGGCTCTTCCCCAGAAGTCAAATTCGTTCCCACCGTGGGAAGCTGACACTATCCTGTGCATACTGTGTGAGTTAAAAAAAATTGTGGGCCCTCCCTGGTGGCACAGCGGGTTAGAGCACAGCACTACAAGCTAGCTGCAGCCGCTTCAGTGCGAGTTCGATCCCTGACCTGGAGGTGACCCACATGGCGCAGACCTCTCCTGACTCGCCTGCTGCTCCCTCAGCAGTGTACTTCGTCAATCAGCCTGTTCTGCTCCCTGCTCTGCCTTTGGTGAATCCTTTCACCGCCTCTGTACTTCTGTCTTGTACCCCAATTCTGTATGCATAAATAAATACATCTTTTTTTAAAAAAATGTTACTCTGGCTTAATGAGGTTGAGAAGAGGCCGAATTCAAAGTGCACTGGTCTGCATGAAATCCAGCTAACTGGAGGTCAGGCTTAATCTGAAGAATGCATCCTGGTAGAAGCTGAGGGGAAACCCCTTGTTATAGGGTGGGTACGCTGAGTTTTGCAGTTTCCTGGTTACGTTTGGTGGTTTTTCTTGGGCCACTTTGTTTGGGGCATCCTGAGGAGGAGGACAGCATGCACGCACTTGCAATGTGTGTGTAGGAAAGCGAAACACTGAGGCCAGCTCAGGGAGTGCCAAGGACAGGAAGAGATCAAGAAAGTTTAGTGGGAAAAGTGAGGCTTGTCCTGAATTGGGAAGATAAGCAAAGATAAAAAAGAAAAGCATTCCAGAAGCGACCGGACCCAACGGGCACAGTGAAACTAGGACAGCGCACAGCAGCCCAGGGCAGCCAGTGCTGTTAACTGATCACTGGGCTGTAGGGGTCGTGGGGAAACGTTGTGGGGGTTGCGGGGTGTCTTTGCCAGTATCAACGCAGGCCTTCAGTGGAAGCTGATCCCACTTGATCATAAGGCAGCGGTCTGAAATTAGGTGCTAATGATCTGCTTGACACAGAAGTGGGTGGCTGGCTTTAGCAATGTAATCTAAAACTCTGGCTAGTTCCTTTGCAAGCAGCAGCCCCAGATTGCCCCAACTATTCTCCCTGCAGACTCTGATGACATGGAACCCTGGTTCACCCTGTTTCAAAAAGCATCCAGTTTTCCCCCAGGGCAATCTGAACACTGGATACACACAGGCCCTGCCGCCGCTGTGTGGATGCTGGGCTGCCAGAATGCTGCTTCACCCTCCCGAGGTGACAGGTTAGATGCCAGGGAACTGGGAGACCAGTCAACAGTCAGAGCTCTAGCCCCTGCCTTCAGTGGTGAGAAGTTGCAATCTTATAGGTGTGGATCCTCCCATGTGGGCCGGGGTCCTCCCTCTCCTGCCCAAAAGGTACAGATGTGCAAGAGGAAGCAGGAATGTGCAATTTATTTTTTCTCAAAACATTTCTGAGTTCTCTGTGTAACAGCCCTGTCATTTAAAGGAAAAAGAAACGGACTTTTGCACCATCCTTAAAACTAGAAAGAATCTACAGGCAGGCTAAAACAGTTGTATTACTTTTTTCATTCTTAGGTGCAGCAATTCCAAAATTCTTGTGGATTCTTGGGGAGACACTTGGGGAACACTTGGGGAGGCCTTACTCATCTGAGTCGGCACTCTGGAAGAAATCTACTTGGTGTCTTTAAAGAAGTGGGGGGCAAGAGCCCTCCCTGGTGGTGCAACGGGTTAAAGCACAGCACTATGAAGTTATCGCAGCCACCACAGCACGAGTTCGATCCCCCGCCAGGGGGCTGATCCACATGGCGTGCAGACCTGTCCTGACCCGCCCGCTGCTCCCCTCAGCAGTGTATTTCAGTCAGTCTGCCTGTTCTGCTCCCCGCTCTGTCTCTGGTGAACCCTCTCACCCCCTCAGTTCTATATGTGTAAATAAACAAATCTTTAAAAAAAAAAAAAAAAAGGAGAAGCAGCAGCAGGGGAACAAACAGGATGGGAGAAAATGAATAGGCTCAAAACCTTAAAAGCCAGAAAGAGCCTTGACCCTCGCATCCCAAAGTCCCGGTTTATTCTTGAAATTGCTCTGCTTCTGAAACTCAGGGGCACGGCCCCAAGGCAAATGCTGTGAAAATGATTTCCAATTTTGGCAGGTTTACTGCCAGGTAACATTACCCAATCTCGTTTTAAAAAAAGAAAGAGTCTTAAAATGTGCACCACCGGGAGGGACAGAAATAGGAGCGGGTGACGCTGCCCCTCGGGCTGTGCATCCCTGGTGTTCTCGCTTGAAAGCCGGAGTCACGTCTCTGAGTGTGGGAAATGCGCACGGCTTGCCGGGCCGCCGCCTGATGGACGGAGGGGGCAGGACCCCGCATAGCTCCTGAAGAGAAGCAAAAATGTGTTCTGTCCAAAAATAAAACAGGGGCAGGAATAACAGCGAGTAAAGAGCTGGAAGCACGTGACTGGTGGCTGCGGTCCTCAAATACCAGCTTTCTACAAAAAGGAGTCTGTGAGGGGCAGAGAGCGGGAAATTCAGGAAACGGCCTCTTTATATGGCCTCATCCGACTGGGCCAGCATTCAACTAGCTGGAATCACCAAGTCAGAGGGAGGGAACCTTCAGGGCTGGGTTCTGATCTTTATATGGCTCCCCCAGATTCCTAAGATGCCAAAATAGAAAGGATGCTACAGTGCCAAAAAAGGAGCCTTCGGGCTCAGAAACTTCTCACACACTCAAAAGTCCTAGAGAAAGCCCACAAAATGAATCAGCCCCCATCCAAATGTTTAAATTCCTCAAAGAAATTTACTTAAGGAAGATCCGGTGCAAACTGCACACCCACCCAACTCCCATTATCTAGGGGCAATACAGCTCCCAAGTTCAAACCTTGACTTCTGCTCAAAACCGACTGCCCTTCCTTTCTCCTGCAGCCTGGAAGAAGGCACAAGAAAGGTGCTCTTACGGGCTTGAAGAGGCGACTAACGCCTGTGTGCCCACCACTGCAGAGCCGGCCCACATCCCGCCCACCTGTCCGCACACAGCTCCTTCTCTGTCCACTCCTCCCGCCGGCCTCAGCCCTGCATCTGACAACTAATTCAATACAGACCCAAGTGTTCCCCGTGTGGGTTTAAGGTAACAGAGCATCCAAGTTTATAACTGAATCCCTGTGAGTAAACATAGTTCTTTCAAGCTGAGATGGACACATCACAATGCAAAAACTCACTAATAGATGCTAAAGCCGCTGGGTAGAAGACAGATAGGCGGGAGCTGGGGATTTCATGGTGTCAAAGAATGACTGCTATGCGTTATGTACCAGCAGCAAGAGGGAGCTGTCCCTTCCAGATTGAGATGTCTCTCATCACCTAACTACCCTCTTAACCACACCGACAGT